TAATTCGAGGATTTACGGTAAATGTTCATCTGCTACGGCCGAGTATGCTTGATGGGCCCTTGATGTTACAGGTGAACCTGCCCATAGCTGATACAATTCACCCATAAAATAACAAGTTTGTAAAGAGTGTGAAGATTAATTTAAGAGCTCAGATGAATCAAAACTTTACGACAGTCCTGAATTTATTTACCACATAAAAGCACAGCACAATGGATATCTTAACCCGCCATTAGTAATATTAAGTTTTAGAGATCCAATTCATTACAAAACTTACTGGCTCCTGGAGCAGGAGTTGAAGGGCTTTGTGACAATGACTCAAGCACAACTATGAAAGAAATAAAAAATGTTCTGTTAGAATCTTGTATAGTGAAACTAGCATTAAGCTGACACCCTCTATTAAGAGGATGCCAGCTTGATTCCTCAATTTTCTTTCCACATTTACTGTAAAAATAAACCTGCATTCAGCAGACATTTCTGTATGTTAATTGAATGCGGACACCAAAATAACATTTGAAATACAATTACAATAACATTTCTAAAAATTAAAACTACATTGGTGACCAAAAAAAAGACACTAATACTATTTGCTTTATATTTGCATTCGAAGGAGAAAAAAAAAACTATTCAAAAGATTTACTGGGGTTTTGAAATTAAAATACAATCTTAATTCAGCTGTTAAACTACAAAACTGAGAAAAGATTGATAAAATTACACTAATTGTAAATTAATAAACAATGCAAAAGATGTTGCAGACCGGTAGTCAGTAGAGTTTACAACCCTGAGTGGAAAATTTGGCTTGTGTATTCGGGCTGTTTATTCCCCGACTTGCAATATGGTAATCTTGGCTTCGAGGGTCATACCTGCCTTTACTTTGCCAAATTATGACCTCAGAGATATAACCATGTTTAAAATTAGGACAAATTTATAGTGTGTACCTACCACAAGCAAGGAACAGAAATGACAAAATGACGATTTTCTCCATCTGGTGAAACCAAAAAGAGGTTAACTTAGTTCTTATTAAAAAATAATTATAGCACCATTATTTAAATGCAATACTGTTGAACGCTAGCAATTGGAAAAATATCAGTTTGGTCCTTTGTAGAGGTATTGTACTAGCTCAACCAAGGGTTTCAAACAGATAATGATCTGAAGTTATGTCAAATTTTACTGAAGTGACATATATCTTTTAGGCACAACTAATTAAAATTCGCTGATTAAAAAACCGGTTTACAAATACTAACGCTCTTGAAGAGAACTCGTGACAGTCTGTTTAAGTTTGCAAACAAACCGTAGTAACGGAGAGAAAAAATAAATATAAAGTGGGATTAACGAATCGATGAAAATAAAGGTGATCTATTGTCGCCAAGACTTTAAAAATCTGACAGCGGCTTTGTGGGCGTCGATACCAGAGACATCTAACCGCAATAGCGCGATCGAGCGTGTTTTCAAGGCTACGCAATATGTAGATATTAACACTTTCGGCTCTAAACATTTATGGCATGTTTACTCTTTCGGACAAACGAACGAAGTCAAGCCATAGCAAACCAGGGTACAGCAAAAATCGATGAGAACGTATTCTGTTCCCGAAAAGTTCTTGCTATCGTGTTTTCATTCGATGGTCTCCGTTTCTGTTTATTCAGTTGGCGGTATCTTTTACCAGAACTAGGAGGTTATTAGTTATTTATTACATTCACACACACACACACACACATTACAACAATATTATGTGTGCCGAAAAACAAAACGAAAACAGAAAACGTGTTTTAATCAAATCGCAATTGCTTTTTCGACTAGATACGCCTAGACGCGTCCCTCCATCCTCCAGCAAAACTGATGTTTCGATATTAATATTAAAACCATTAAAGCTACTTCTGTTGCCCGAGAATCTAAACGGTAGTGTAAGTGACGGTTCAGCTGGGAAAATATTCTTTGCGTTGTGAAGGCAGAAATATGCCTTTTCGCGCGCGCGAACACAGCGAATTCGACACTTCAGCAACAAGGAACTTCCCTTCCAAAATCGTCCGCTTTCAACAGACACTTAGGTATACAAGGAAGCAGTTTAAATCTGCATAGAACTGAGAATTATTAAAAGTGGTTGGACATGAATACTCGGGCTGCGTTCTCTTTCCATCATACAGCCTTTTCGTCGAAGTGACTTACCGACTGACAAGTTAACTCAAGATTTCCATACATCTTGACTTATTTTTTCAAGGTAAATGAAACTACTTTTGCGATTTTGTCCTTGCGATCCGTGGCAAATGCGACGAAGGGGCTATTTTAAAATATTCAAAGCTTTCAGGATGCAAAATATGTCGAGATCGCCTTACAAAATTAGCTTGTTTTAACGGAAGAACAGGCATTGATAAAGAACAGATATACTTAAAGAAACATACTTGCTATTCTTATGACTGAAACGCGAAATATTTCGCGATTTTGGGGTAAAAATGTTTTTAGAAATTAACAGCTTCGAATATAATGTCGAAGAAACCGAAACATCTGCGCCGAACAAAATAAAATAGAACGGGGATAGTTTCAAAACTAAAACCACGCGCTGTTACAACCCGACGCCTCCCGTTTCACCGGCGATTTAGTCGCCTTATGTCCTCGCTAATTGAAAATACGTCTTGCCAATTCCTCAACCTGCTTTATTAAATAAACTATGTATGTATGTATGTATGTATGCATGTATGTATGTAAAAGCGACTCAGAGTTTCTTGAAGGTGCAGGTTACTGAACTACACGTGTTTCTCTCGAGGCTACCAGAGTCGATCCGGGAAACTATGTCAATAAACTGAAGGCGCGCTTTGGTTCAGTTATTCAACACAATCACCACCACTGGCGATCCCATTAGGTGGATCAGGCTCATAAAGGGACGCCATGAACCTCGACAGTGAAATATGGGCAATCAGGGTTTTTTAGTGCGTCATTACAAAAGCCAGTTAAAACAAACACAGCACGATTCGGAGCCATCAATATTCAACGGCTTAATTGTCGAAAGAAACTAACGAACTTCAATTTGGCACGGACTAATTTTACAGCAGGTTACAACAGAATGCAGTTCCAAATACTGTACAATTGTGAACACGTTAAGGTATTTAGAATAGATTGACTTTTACGAACTTGCAACAGCGCGTGTCGTGGGTGTTGTTTCCGCCACGCCAGTTTCAAGGCGCCCGTAAAAGATTGGCCTTGTTCAGGGAAGCATTTCGCGCTTGAGCGAACGAGGAAAATATCACCTCGAAGCAACTAATGAGAAAGCAGCCTTTTTCTCAGTTGAATAGTCACTATTATAGTTAACTTTTTCTATAGTAATTCAGGCTACATCCCTTTAGTTTGAGCTACAACGTGTATGTTCGTTTTTGCTTCATACAGTAGACCAAACACGTTTCGAAAACCATGCCGATTTCGAAACATCGACGATGGTACAGCAGTTTTCGAACCGGTTTGGTCATTCAGATAAAATATGCTTTGTCTTCATTATTTTTGGTTTTATTCAAGCATGAGCGGTCTCGCTATAATCGTACGATCTTCATGAAACAAGCGAATATCCTCAAGAAATGAAAATGGCGGCGCGCCCAGTTGCATTACAATTTATGCTTAGTTGTAACAAGACTTTTTAGGCGCGATAGTATAAATCTAAAGCATTCGGTTTCAATCTTTCGGCAACCGAAGCGAGTCAAGGTCATAATAGGAAAAAAAAGCTGATCGAAAATCGCCAGTGAATCGTAACGAGCTCCCGTGAAAGAATATAAAGGCGTGCCTGCCGAGCGAACCGTGCTCGATTAAATCAATGTTGTATGCTAAAATGAAGCGCCTTACAATCATTCCTTACTTTCCTTGCTTACACATAAAATTAAAACAAGATTTTTGTAAGCGCTACAATAACTCACCTTATAGATTTACGATTTTCGAACGTCGAAGATCAAGCTTACAAATTGCTTCTATACAAACAAGAACAGCACAGCACCAACGCCTTAGAACGAGAGACTGCGAAATGTAATCTCCTTGCTATTTGACTGAAGCCAAAAAGCATGTGACTTCCACGTGATCATTTGATTGTTTGGTTTTGGTTGCTTACGTAAGTGGGTTGGAATCCAGTCAAGCGCATGGCAGCGCGCGCGAGCCAACGGGTTACGAAGAGGCATGCTGTGTTATAATTGTTATTGTTGCGATGAACTCTGATCAGCATCGGGTTTGCTGTTTCATGTGCCAGAAATAAAAACATAACTTGTGTTTATACTGTCGTTTGTGCTGAATTAAAGAAGAGGAAGTTAGTTTTTGCTCCTAGCAGCCCCTCGGCTTGTCACGAACAAAGGTTACTATTTGTATTAAGACCGGGGTAGCGACTGTGATTGGCTAAGATTTTGATTGACAATTTGCAAGGTTGGTACACCGTATAATTTTAAAATAAATAAATGTAGTTGCCGAGGACATCGTTATTTAGTTAGTATAAAATTATGCTCCTTGCAAAACTATATCATTGCTGGAAATAATTTTTTTTTATGGACGACACGCATGGTTGATGAAGTTTTTATTTTTTTCCTGATTCCTTTCAGCGAATATCGCAAAAAAAAACCGATTGCTTTAATAAGCCAATGAATCCGGGTGTGTGTCAGTCATCAACTAAATCTTTCTTCCTTTTGCATCAAATTTGCATCGGAACAATGTCCTGCTTTCACTTCTCCTACATTTGTATAAAGCGATAGATTGATCTTTGACCTCGCTTGAGACGCCGATATTCCCAATCCAAAGCGATATCTGGTATTGGATTACGGTGAAAACCCTGGCTCAGGTTGCACGTTAGCAGTACAACGTGGACAGATGTAAACAGAAAGTCAACACAGAGTTTATATGACGGAGCTCATCCAGACAGGCATTTCACACACAGCAAAACTTTACACCTTACCAGGAGCCCCCTAACGTATCAAAATAATGATGAAACTGATATAATCAAGAAAATTTCACAAAATCTATATCTGTAGCTATGTCGGTCCAAAGTACACTTCTTTGAAGTCACGCTAAAACTCAACTCGAAATACATCGCTTTAAAAAAATTAAACGAGACTTTCCAACATTAACTTGTTCTGAATATGTAAAAATGGTCCTCACAGATTTATATGGGATTTGAGTAACTTTTTCAGGGGTGAAATAAAGTGGCTCATTATTCCATACAAATCGTGACTTTTTTCATTTTATCCGCCGCAATATATAAACAGTCAAAAACTGACGCCCTTGACGCCGCAATGTTGAATTCGTGGTGAGCAGGGCAGATTTTCTAGATAATTAATGCCAGTTTTCAGTTGTAACTTCGGCGCGCACCGAAATGTTAGTGCGCTGCGCCGCAAGCAAAGGACCAGACTTCGGGCTAGATGGTTGACTGGAATGCCGTGTTCTGAAGGAGTTTAGCGTGATTGTAGCGTACCCCCTCAAACAGTTTATCACGATTCTCGAGAAAATTGGCCAACAGGACCGGATTATCTCAATTCTACTAATTTGCGGGTACCAAACGCTCATGAAAACAAGACGACCTTCTCTAGCAGAGATAGAACTCGATTGTTTGTGATTTGCGCATTGACGTCTGTTCAATTTGATATAAACATTTTGTTGTGTCCTGTCACGGACAATAAATACATCTTGAAAGATCGAGTGTCCGTCCCAATCTTCCATCGTCATGACCATCATAAACCATTTTCGAGTTGTTATTACTTCGTTCGTGATTTTGTTCCTGAGAAAACAATCATTTTAAGGCTTTCTAGTAATCTTGCGCATCAGAACTATGGTTTTCGATATCGTGACATGTGGACCCGTTCCCGCCAAGCTTCTTTCTCCCGCCTATAAATGGCGCCAAATACGCCTTGAAATTAATATCACATAGAACTCAATGAGAAAATTGTGTACTCGGAATTTTAGCTACGTAAACAATTACAACTATGTTTGAAATACCCGACACAACTGGCGGTTTTTCTGAGCGAAAATAGAACCGGCAAAATACCGGCAAACGGTTTACGGTACACGACTTATATCCCTGTACCCATGAAAGTGGTCATTCGAAATACTATTCCAGTGGAACAAATATTGGCCATCACTAACGCTGGTCTATATTTGTATTTCCGTTCTAATAGGTCTCTTGCCTCTTTGTTTTACGAAACTCACTTCAAACGGCTGGTTAATGAGGTCTTGATATTAATTATCCTTGGCGAGTTTGGAGTTTGATCGCGATTAAGTGAAGCGCTCTCAGTTGCACGAGCTTGTCGCTCCCCGTGCTCGTGTGTAGCGATTTTCGCTCTGCCCCGCTTAACCGTCTTTTCTTTAGAAGTTTCAACGGTCTGCGTTCAAGCCTGGTGGCCCACCGTCACACTGGAGATTATTTCCAGTGTCAACAGCATAAAGCGACTAAGGCAATTTGTCAGTATTCCGCATGGATTGTTATGTTAGTCCATCGCGAGCAATCTTAACCTCTAGTATTTAATTCACCGGTACTCATTTGTGGACTGAAGTGCTGTGGTACTGTGAGAGTACTAATGCTCTAACCCGTTACCTCTCATATAAGTCAGTGCATATCGCATAAAGTATGTTGAAAATCCATTGGAGCATTTGATTTCGAAGGTCAAGTAGCAATAAATGACAACCACACTGCCAACCTCAGAAAAAAATTATGCATAATGAACTTACGGGAGTTTTCTATTAGGCGCTTGCGGTAACAAATGTATATGCAGTAATGAATTGGAAAATTTTTCACAGAGTTTGCGCATTGTTAACGAAAAAAAAAAATCGGCAAATAAAGCAGGAGTTAAAACCAATTTATATAAAGAAAAAAAAATGAAAGTTTACCAAGCAGAAAATTAAACGAACATAATATATTGGCCATTATCTTCTAAAATAAAAGAAAATAAGTGACATTTTTATTTAACGGGCCTCCAGCGATGAAGTAATGAGAATTTTCGAGCACAGTTTTGTGTTAAGCGGCTAAAATTAAATTGATAACCTCGGTGGCCGTGTGTGTATGTGTGTGTTCGGGGTGGTGGGGGGGGGGGGGGGGGGGGGGTAGACAATCCAGTTTGTGTGTTATTTCGTGTGTTACTTCAAAGCCATGACGTTTGACGACAAGCGCGAACCCAACCCAGCTTCTGACCTGTGCATAGTCCATAATTACTGGTTACCACCAGCATCAACCGCTAGATTCATATTCCTCTCCACCCCGTCCCCCACTGCTCTCGAGTCTGGTATTTGCTCCTCAGCCATTCGCGCTCCTCATCACCGAGTATTCCCGAAGCTTGACGCATGCGCCATTTGTCAACCTAAGGCATACTTGAAACTCCGCAGAACTTCCCAGTCATATCGTAAGAATGCAGATGACAAAGAACAGAGTATACTCTATCTGAGAGCCCGTCAGAAATACCGGAAACATTAATTTAGGAGTGACACCATGCAAGATCTTGATATAAAAGTTATGGTTGTTAGCAGCATGTTGCTATAATTTTATTTCAGCAAACCAAAAATTATAATTTCTCCTGCTTGTGCCCTGTGGTTGTTTCGGCAGAGGAATCCCGATTTTTCGAACCTTCAAGGGAAACGAAACTTGGTTCGAAAAATCGGATAGTTCGAGAAATCGGGGGTAAAATTACAGTGTTTGACTGAGGAGAGGAAACGACTTTTGGTTCGAGTTATCGG